ATTATTTTATTTCTGGCTAAATATATTTAGCCAGAATATTTAACTTAATATCCAAATAGAAACACTGAAGTCTTACCCTGGTTGGTTTGGTTCAGTGGATTGAGTGCCAACCTGCAAACCAAAGGGTAGCCAGTTCAATTCCTGGTCAATTCCCAGGTTGTAGGCCAGGTCTCCATCCAGTAGGGGGCTCAGGAGAGGAATCCATACATTGATGTTTCTCTTCCTCCTTTCCCCTCTCTCTAAAAGTGAATAAATAAAATCTTTTAAAAATAACCAAAGTTTTATTAGTAGATGCTATGACCAAAAATAGCATGATAATTGTGTAAGTTGATATAAAATTGCAGAGGAAGGTATTATATCATGAAACTAAAAAAGCATTTCTGCAGAATGGCCAGAGGAAAATTTTGGAAGCTAAAAGGAACTAAGTTCAAATTCCATATCTGCCACCTATATTGTATAAATTTAGGCAATTTTCCTAACCACTCTATGTAACTTTTTGTTTAAGAATGGAGACAGCTGTAGTTGAACAACAATAAATAAATAAATACATACATACATACATACATACCATATTGTTATTTTAAGCAAAAAACAAAAATATTCAAAGCACCTAGCACATGATAGATATTCAGTAAAGACAGCTATTTTCTCAGAATATAACCTCACTTGTCATCTGTTTTATTCTAAGCACATATAATTAAATAACTGGTAAATTGACTAGAGTGAGATTTTAAAGCCTTTCTGTAATGGAATTCTATCCTATTTTTCTTAGAACTTTAGAAACTGTCCACTGTTGTTTTGATGTATTACAAGCATTTTACACACATTCTGTTGTACTAAAATATGTTGCAAAATGTCTTATACCCAAGCCTAGTTGGTAGCAAAAGTAGCCAGAAAACAGATAAGAAAAAATCCTTTTCTTAATGGAGTAGAAAACAAATAGAAAAATGCTAGTATCCTGGTAGACTAATGTGTTCTGGTCACAAAGACACTGATAGGATTATGAGAAATTCCCTATTAGAAAATAAATAAAATAAAATAAAATAATAAAATAAAATAAAAAATAAAATAAAATAATAATAAAATAAAACTACTAGAGCTTTGGAGGTAAGAAGTTCCTAAAGGCATTTTATAGCTCCTGTTTGCAAACTGCCTCTAGTATAAATCATGTATATTTTAAAGCCATGTCAAATAGTGTCAATTTTTAAAGAGATTAAAATGTGTTTTTTAATTACAGAACATATGTACATGGTGCTACAATAAAGGATATTCTTCTGTTAGCAATATTAACACTTGTATTTTTATTTTTTAATTATATTTCATTGGTTATGTTATTAGAGTTGTCTTGATTTTCTCCCTTTGCCCCCCTCCACTCAGGACCCCTCACTTCCTCAAGCAATCCCCCACAATTGTTCATATCCGTGGATTACGTGTAAAGTTCTTTAACTGCTCCATATCCTATATTGTACTTTACATCCCCATGGCTATTCTGTAACTATCTATTTGTACTTCTTAGTCCCCTCACCTCTTCACCCATTCCCACACAACTGCTTTCCCATCTGGCAAGCATCAAAATGCTCTCCCTATACATGATTTTGACTATTTTTCTTTTTTACTTCCTTTGTTTTTTTAGATTTAATTGTTGATAGATTTGTATATTTTGCCATTTTATTGTTCATAGCTTTAATCTTTTTTGAAGTAAGTCCCTTGAATATTTTATATAATAATGGTTTGGTGATGATGAAATCTTTTAGTTTTCTCTTGTCTGGGAAGCTCTTTATCTGCCTTTCAATTCTAAATGATAGCTTTGCTAGGTAGAGCAATCTTGGCTATAGGTCCCTGCTTTTCATGACTTTGAATATTTCTTGCCAATCCCTTCTAGCCTGCAAAGTTTCTTTAGAGAAATTATTTTCTCTTGCTGCTTTTAAGACTAGAGAATCTTAACCTTTAACCTTTGGCATTTTAATTATGAGGTTTTAGAGTGAGCCTCTTTATATCCATCTTGTTTGGGAATCTCTGTGCTTCCTGGATTTGCATGTCTATTCCCTTCACCAAATTAGGGAAGTTTTCTTTCATTATTTTTTCAAGTAGATTTCCAATTTCTTGCTTTTTCTATTCTCCTTCTGGCACCCATATAATACAAATGTTGGACCTCTTGAAGTTGTCCCAGAGGCTGTTTATACTTTCCTTATTTCTCTGGATTCTTTTTTCTTCTTGTTGTTCTGATTGGTTTTTTCTTCCTTGTGTTCCAAATCATTGATTTGATTCTTGGCTTCATCCACTCTACTGTTGATTCTCTATACCATTGTTCTATATTTCAATTAGAGAGCAGACTGGAAACTTCATTTCTGACTGGATCTTTTTTATACTGCTGAGGTCCTCACTAAGTTCCTTGAGCATCTTTACAACCAGTATTTTCAACTCTGCAACTGATAGATTGCTCAACTCCATTTTGGTTAAGTTCTTTTCCTGGAGTTTTGATCTGTTCTGTCATTTGGGCCATATTTCTTTGTCTCTTTATTTTGTCAGCCTCCCTGCATTTGTTTCTACTATGTGGAGCTACTCTGACTCCATGCCTTGGTAGTGTGGCTAATATAGTAGGTATCCTGTAGGGTTTAGTAGCACAACCTCCTGTATCACTCAGGCTGGGTGCTCAAGGTATGCCCTTCCTGTGAGCTGAGTATATCCTCCTCATGTAGTTGAACCTTGGTTGCTGTTGACAGATCATGGGATGGATTTACCCAGACCAGTCAGCTGCAAGGATTGGCTATGACCACTTACCACCAACCTCCACCCTCCATGAAGCATCAGCTGTACAGGGGCAAGATGGTGGTGCTCTGACAGTCTGTAACATTCCCCTGGGTGCACTGGCCCTGGGATTTTCCAGTGGTGCATTCCCAGGTCAGCCCCCATCTGTATTTTGCCTGGTACCACCCTTCCTGAGCTATAAAGCAATGAGATGGCTGCTACTTGTTTTGGGCTTAGAGATTTCCACTCAAAGCCAAGCTGTGAGTCTAGGCTGACTGCTGATAGTGATAGGACTGAGGCTCTCTGAAGCCAGCTCTTGTTTGTTTAAGAGGATTTAGGAAGTTGTGAAGCATGAGCCAAGACCAACCATTCATACAGAAAAGCAGCTTGGGTGGGCCCATTAGTTGGGTGGGTTAGAGTCTCTGAGGATCTCCCAGGCAGGTCAGTGTTAGCCAGGTTAATGGAGTCTCAGACATGGCACCAGCTTGCCAGCTCTGTGGGGGGAGGTGTTAGAAAAGGGACAATGTCTTCTGCTTTCCTTGATGCCAGACAAGGCATAGTTTCTCCCTGTATACCACTGAGAACTGCCTTTCAAGCTGTTGTCCCACTGCTGGGGATCGGAGGAAGTGAGCCTGAGTGGGCAAGTCCATGTGTGGGTTCTTTACAAGGAAATGCTCAGAGCTCCAGCTGTTTCTTCCACCAACTCAATCCTTACTGGGTTTTTCAGCCAGAAGTTGTGGGGGCCTATCTTTCTGGCGGTGGAACCCTGGGATGGGGTGCCTGGTGTGGGGCTGGGACTCTTTGCTCTTGAGATATCCCTCCTGAATTTTTACCCACTATATGTGCATGAGGGACCAGCCTGTTCCGCATCTGCACCCCTCCTACCAACCTGATGGATGTGGTGTCTTTAATTCCATCATTGTCAAATTTTCATTCAACTGGATTTCTAAGGTTCTGAGTGATGCTTGTTCTATGTTTTAGTTGTAATCTTCATGTGATTGTGCAAAGAAATGAGCCATGCCTGCCTACACTGCCATCTTAACCAGAAGTCCCGCACTTTTATATTTCTGTTGTTAACAGGGGACAAGGGTGAGATTGTATTATGTTTGTCTTTAAATATTTATCTTCTCCTCAGTTTTCCCATCTCAAAAATGGGGGGGACCCTTTCCTTTGCCTTTCTAAAAGAAATAATATAAGAATAAAGGCTCAGATGAATACTTTTGAACATGTTATAAAAAAATAAGTTACATAAATTCAAGGTTAATTTAATCGCATTGTTAAGAAATTCCCAGGTGGGTCACATATTAAGCAAATAAATAACTTGCCTTATCTCTAATATAATTCCCTAAATACATAAAGAGAAAAAGCCATCATCATCTTCTTGTCCTTAACTTTGGCTTCTTATAAAGAGTTCTTTCTCTAGAGCTGCACTGTGTCATTGAGTAGCCACTAACCACAGGTGCCTATTTAAATTTTAATTAAAACTTACTAAACCTAAAAATTCAGTCCCTTGGGCCTACTAACCACATTTCAGGTACCCCATATTTACTAGCATGTTGAACAAAGAAAACATTCCCATCATCACAGACAGTTCTGTTGGAGAGTGTTGGCCCAGAGGATGCTCAGGCTAAGCTCCTGGTGCTCTGTGGCCTTCAAGTAGGCAATAATAACATTGCAAAGATTAAATGATCTTAGATGTCATGAGAGGGCTTATAATCATGAATCAGACTAAGGAAAAGGCAGAAATAAGTAAATAGGAATTCAATAGGCAGTGAAGAAGGAAAAAGAAATCATAACTAGAAAAAGAATACACAGTGACTTATTGTAAAAGGGTAAAAATTATTTAGAAATTTAGTGCTTCAGCAGAAGTACATTTTTGTTAAAATATTTGTCAGACATGGCTTGCCCTAAATGCTGATTTTCTAATGTCCTAATTGTTTTGAGATGTTCCAGCTAAATCATACAAACACTATTGTTTGGCATTGTGATGAAACTTAATCTGCCTTCTGTATAGCACATGTTTAAAACACATATTTTCCTCTCAGGGACATCAGAAGGTACTACAGAAATATTTGCAATTTCTTCTCATAACTTTTGTACATATTCTTGTCTACACCATTTGAATTCACAAGTAGTTTTCATGCTTACCAATATTTTGGCTTCTATTTCATTCATAAAAAGAAATCATAACTTAGCATATGTGTTCTCTGTCCCCAAAAGTAAGAAAATAACCTTTGTATGCTTGCATTTAGGTCATTCTGTCCATTGAAGAAGGTTACAGACTTCCGGCTCCCATGGGCTGTCCAGCGTCTCTACATCAGCTGATGCTCCATTGCTGGCAGAAAGAGAGAAACCACAGACCAAAATTTACTGACATCGTCAGCTTCCTTGACAAACTGATCCGCAATCCCAGTGCCCTTCACACTCTGGTGGAGGACATCCTTGTGTAAGATGCATAAAGTTGATTTTCCCCCTTGACAATCATAATTTCTTTCAGGCTGTAGACAAGACTAACAGATAGGAGAAAGTTTGCCTTGATAACCACCTAGTTGCCAACCTTTTAGAAAATTGTGTATAAACTATATTTTATTTAACAGCTGAAAAAGCATTTTATTAATATTTTAGAAAAAATGATTTTTTTCTATGAGAAAACAAGTTCTTCTTTCTTTTCTCCATGTGTAATCTTTCTGGATTTCTTTATACTTTTCTTGTGTGGGTCTTTGGTATTTACTTTGGTATTTACATATCCTTTATTTACTGATTCTTTCTCTTATAAGTAGAATGTGTACCATGCCTGCAGCCCCTTTAATTTTCTTGTCCATTTTATATGTGTTCTGTCCCTCTATTTTAAATGGCAGGCAAGATGGGCAATTTGTGAATCAGCCAGGAGCAAGGATGTTTCCTGCTGGTATGATCACACCCAGCTATTGTTACTTTCCATGCCTACAACCAGAGAAAGACAGATGACAGGATAATGAAGGCACTCACACACCATTTTATAAGTCAGCAGAGTTGAGATCTACTCACCTCCCTTTGAAAAGCAATTATAAGAAGAGGAGAATAGAAGAAAAAAACTGCCTTCTGTGTCTGAAATTATTACCTTTAAAATATTATTAAGTTGAAAATGTATTTCCTTATTTAGGCCAAATTGGACTTAAAAATAACCAAAGCAGGGAATGGCCAACAGGATATTTAACTTTAGGCCACAGGTTCAAATCAGTACAGGTGTTTAAGTGACAATAAGGCCAAAAGCTGTTCTAGGAACTGCTTGAAGCAGGCCTTAGCTTACAGCAGAGCACATCAGAGTTCACCTCTAAATCAGTGATTGGCAGCCTTAGTAAAGTGAAGCCAAGCACGAAATAGCCAGAGATTAAACTATTACTCTAGCCCATCTTCCCTGAGGCAGTCGGACACAGGAAGCTGTAAAGCGGGGGTGGGGCAGGAGGATGGAAGGCCCTCTGGATTTTAAAAGCCATGGCTGCCACAGAAGATTTTTAAACAGGATAATGAAATGGTCACGTTTGTGTTTCTGAAATATCACTCTAGGGGTGATATAGACTGGGAGCAAAAAACAAGAGACTGGAAACAGAGACAATTATATATTTGCAGCAATACAAGCAAGAAAAAGATCAGGGCCTGCTTACGAAATGGGAATAAGGTTAGGGTGATGAGATTTTTAAAAAAGGATTTGTTATTAGGCAAGGAAAATGAATGTGTCTTGGTCATTGATTAAGTATATGGAGAGAGGAGAAAAGAATCAAGGACATTTGTCAAGTTTCTTTCTTAGACAAGCTGGTTGATGATATTACCACTAAGGGAGAGAGGAAGAAGGACAAATTTTGGGAATAGACATGACACCATTTTGAGCATGCTGACTTGAAGATGCCTGTGGTACTTCTATGTAGAGATGTCCTACAGGCCTTTATATTTGTAGGTTGAACCTCAGGTGAAAATATCTGGGCTAGAGATGTAAATTTGAAGATCATCAGCATACAGATCGTGCCTGAACTTTTAAGTATAGTTAAGACAACCCATGGAGAATATAAAGAATGCAAATTAGCCCTGACCAGTGTGGCTTCAGGTAGTTGGGCATTGTCCTGCAAAGCAAAAGGCCAGTTCATTTCCCAGTAGGGGTACATACCTGGGTTGCATGTTCAGTCTAACCAATCGATGTTACTCATCCTCTTTTCTCCCTCCCTACCCTTCTCTCTAAAAATAAATCAATAAAGTATTTTTTAAAAAAGAAGAATACGAATTAACAGAGGGAAAGAATACAACCCTCTGGAATACAAAGATGCAAGAGGTAAACTAAAGGATGGTACCAAAGCACACTGAGAAAAAAGAGCCAGACAGGTGATGAGGAGAACAGGGAAGGAGCGGTATCACGGAAACCGAAAAGGGGGAGAGATTCAAGGAGTGTAATTACTGAGGCCCCACAAAGCTTCAGGAAAATAAAAAGTGAAGTATACCCATTGAATTTAGTAACAAGGTGCTCAAGTTAGCAGCCTTTGCGAGAGCATTTTCAATAAAGTTGTTTAAGACAGATTACAATGGAGGACTGAATATGAGGTCAGAGGGAAAAGCAATAAAAAGTACTGTTTTTTCAAGAAACCTGTCTCTGAAGAGAAAGAGAAGTAGTTGGAGACAATGTTTCTTAGCTTTTGCCTTTATATAGTTTATGGAAGAGTCAGGCACGCTTTAACACTGAGGAGAAGGAGCTGGTGGAAAGAGCTCATGGAGCAAGTCTGCATTAATGAAGCAGAACATTAGCACCTGCACACTAAAATCATTCATTCTGGGCTTCTTGTTGTGGTATAGGGTCAACGGACCCCACAGCCAGTGCCCGTCAGCAGAGCTCCCTAACTGTTCTATGGCTGTACAAGCAGGCAGGTAAGAGCCTTCTTTTTTGAAGAAAAGCAGATAAAACCATTTCTTCCCTGCCTTATCAAGATTGTAACTGTTCATCACATTCGGAAAATACTGATGAGGAATCTGAGATGAGAAAATACCAAAAGTCAGCATGATCGCAAGGTAAAGTCGAGCTGAGGGCTCATGCCTGCGGGCCAGAGGTTTAGGTTTCATGGGGTGTGCAGTGACCAGCGCCCCAGCCAGTGCATGGCAGGATCTGTGAGGCACTGCCCACAGGGGCCAGGAGTTGGTGCTTTATATACACTTGGCAGTTTAATTCAACCCTCAAGTCTCATCTCTAGGAAACCAAATGGGAGTCTTTGTGACTGGTTTTCTTTGTTTCTGACAAAGAAACGAAGTATACTACTGCTTTTTCCCCTAACACACTTTTATTTGAGAAACAAAAGGAACCGGAGTTTGAAAGGTACTTAATATTATGCTCGAAGGCTTTATCAGCCTTCTTATTTTTACAGTAACTTGAACGGTTTCCCCGTCTAGCTCCAATGCTACCCTCACCCTGTCCCTGTTCCCAAAGACAGTTCACTGAGACAGTTTAGTGAGAAGAGACATGGGAAATTAAAGGACAGTAATGTTAGCTAAAGAATGCCTGGTTTGTTTTTATGCTTATAAACTGTGACACTGCCCCTCCATCCCCCAAGTCTCAAAGCCCAGCATTTGTCCCAGAGTGATACTGGATTAAGGAAATGTGACCAGGTGTAGAATTGCAGCCTTTGCTCCCATACAGCTCTCAGACTGGAAAAGGGGTCTGAGTGTACAACCCATAGTGACTCTTATTTAAACTCTCCTACACCTGCCTTTTCTCTACTATCTTCACGCTCCCAGGGTTCTCGCAAACTTTTACACTGACACAGCTCTCTCAGCCACTAGGTCCCCGTGTTTTTTGTTTTACTCTAATTGCTTTTTCTCAAGGATTCACCTTAGAAGCTTTTATCCTTTCTCTTGACAGGGTAGTAAAAGGGGAAGAGATGAAAGTAACAAAGGGGCACAAGGAAGGTTGGGAAACCCACAGCTTAATAATTGTATACTAACACTGGAAATTTCATAACCTTATGTCCGTAATATATTCTTTCAAAAAACAGAACACCCAATAGAAATAATGTTGGTCAGAGACAGCTTTCATTATTTGGAGCAGCGTCTCCAAATAATACTGATATTCTTGTGCCTAACACACTCCCATGGGAGCATTCAGAGTTCCATGCAGTTCCCAACATTCTTGCTTTCTCTCCTATTCAACAAGGTATGTGGACATATAAGTGAGCGTAGTGCTATTATACGTACAACCTTAAATCAATTGATAGTGAAAAATAATTTTGCAAAAGTACCTTAATAATATAGGCAGTCATTCTTTAGTAAGTGTGAATTTCAAGCTACTTTCACTTTAACTTATTCTACAATGATACCCTATAACCTTCCTTTCAAAGAATCATTTGTAGCTATCACATGGTGCACAGCTGATGGGAGAAAATGCCCAGCTTGAGGCCAAGGCTATGTGGAGAATGGTAACAGGAATAGCTGCCTGGCCATAGCAATTGAAGCATCCCTGTTCCCTCTCCCCTGACCCTCATGATCAGTTTGGTAGATACTCTCAGCCTCAAGCCAAGCATACTCCCATAGACTCCAGGGTCACATCTGGGGTCCAGCAGTTTAATAACGCAAAGTGGATTGATGGCTATATGGATGTTCTTTAGCCCGGCCCTAACTTCCCAGCCCCGCCCACATTTATTCTCCTATCTATTCAAGCCCATCCCTTTCTCCACACACTGCAGCCTTCTGAGTGCACTATGTTGAAATAAACTGGCCAGCCCTTTGGACAGTGCTGCAATGTAATAAAAAAAATAACACTTTCCTACATTTCTGCTCCAGAGCCCCAGAATGTCACTATCAAAGAATTTTACAGATTATGAGCTCCTTGACATCTGCTAAAAAAAGGAGGAAGGCAGTGCTTGACCAGACGAACCAGTCTTTGATAGTCACTTGCCTCAAAAATCATGTTCCGCTCAGGCTGAAGTACTTAGGAATATTCTCACCAACCATTGGACCATAGTTAAGTTTTATAATGTTTTAGCTTTTAGGAACTGGAACCACCACTTTTCTTAGTACTATATATAAATCTAATTGAACTTTTAAGCACTTGGCTTCCAGTAATGTGTGAATCGTGATGGTAAGGAAAAACTCAAACCAGTATCTTAATTCTGAAACTCTACTTTAGAGAACTATGAGTTAACGTTGTAAAAATAGATGGTATTGCCTCCCTCCATCCAGTTAATAAAACACTTATAATGCTGTCTTCAGAGGGCAGTAACTTTCAAGAGCTTGACATAAATTTTCCCATTCATTTTGAAGAGATCCTGCTCAGTGCTGCCTGTACTGTACATAATCAGCACTTGCTAAATCGTTATCTGTAGACACCAGCTCATGGAAAACTTGTTTTGTTTGACTTCCTTAATGAACACTTTTAATGATGTTTTTTTAGACAGAGAAATAACTACTGGACAAAACCCAGTGTTGAATTAAGGGATTAGCAAAGCTTTGTGGAAGGAAAACAGAACATTAAGTATTAATCAGGAAGTGTGAAATTCCTACCTATTAGAAAATCTAAATTCAATTTACATGAACTGTTAGTGCAAGATAATACATACTAATGTTAATTCCAATACTAATGTTGATACAAAATCTAATATACACTATCAATGATAAATTTTACTGTTACTTGTTGAGAACCTACTATGTGACAGTCATTGCACTAGGCACTTCATCTGCTAGGTCATTTATTTCTCACTGTTATTATCTCCATCCCTCCATTTCCTTATATGAGAAGTTAACTTCCCAAAGGCACACAGCAAATAATTAGTGGATCAGGAATTTGAACAAGATACATTGACTGCAAAACCCTGTTCTTTCCCCTACACAGTATATAATCACACAAAATGCCAAGATTTTCCCAATACAGCACTGTTTCAAAAATGTGATTATAAGAAAGAAGGTACATTTTTACATTTCCAGATAGATTGTTCTCTGGACTAATCAACTTCATAAATGGGGTATTTAAAATCCCAAAAAGAATTTGTAGTGGGACAAAACCCATTATTTTATGTTCCACTACAAATACAAGGACATAGAGTATATGCTCTTAGTCTTGTGGGAGTAAGTAGCAAATGTATAGTCCCTATATTCTATCCCCTTAACATTCTCCTGTAATGCTCAGCCACTTGAAGAACATTGCTTGAAAAAAGAAAGTAGAAACTACAATATAGTAGAGAAATGAAAAAAATGTCAAGAACATAGTTCCAGAATTACATCCTCAGGCACTTTTGTAGATTGAATTTCTCCAGTGTTGGCAAAATATGCTTTGGGTTCTTTTTTTTCCCCCCTTATTATGGCAGACATTACTAATCATCACAACACTTTCCCACTGAGCCCAAATGCTGCCTCAGTATTCTTCTAAAGACCACATTTTGACAACCACTGCTAATGAATTGTAGTGGGCATGGGATATGAAATCTATTTCTTCACACAAATAGGCTCTCCTTGAGGTTCAGTAATCTATTACTCTAGCCATAGAGACCATGTGCCGGGTACTCAGAATTATGGGAACTTTTTAAACAGTTATTTTTCTGGCTCTGTATCTATCTCTCCTAATGTTCAAACACACCTATAACTGTAAATTTTGCTTTGAATTTCATTTCTTCATACTTTTCACCAATTATCAAGCTTATTATGAGAATTGAATAATCATATCAATTAAAAAATCTTGATGACTTTCTGAAAATAAAAGGCTGACCAAAATAATTCATATTTCTAATTAATACTGTTGAAGTTCAGATATTGACCATAAGCATGAAGTAGTCACAAGATATATGACATGGTTCTATGAATTTTATAGCATTTTCAATAAAATTTTAAAAGAATATCAAAATTCTTTTATTAATTTAACTTGTGTTCAAATTGACTGAAAAAAAAGTGTTTTTCATCCAATTAAATAAATTCTTCCTTCAAAGGTTAGGTGGGTACTATGTATGTTAGGAGATTATTTTATGGATTAACTAGTATGAGCTGTAGTCCCTGAGTCATGAGAAGAGAAACTCACATGAAAGCATTGATATTGAATAAGAGCAGTGCTGATTTTGTGGTGCTAAGTCCCATAACCCTGTGCTAGCTCACTCCACCTGTAACTGCCTCTTCCTCCACTCTGAAACCTATAAAGACAGAGACAGCAAACATTTTCACAATACAAGAAACATGTTAAGTAAATCACATTTTCTTTAATAGGCTGGCTGTTACATCACAGATTATTCCATGTGAATCAGCCATTCTGTCATGGACCAAACTTCTCTGTAAGGAATATTTAAGTCTAAATCATCATTTATTTCATGAATTCCTGTAGTACTTTCAGCATTGTGCTAAGGCCTACAGAAAACAGGAAAATAGTGAGATATGGCTCTTGCCATTAGAGACTTTTAACTTAACTCTTAAAGTATTTTTTTCCTTACTTATGGATTTTCTCCAAGGAAGTAATTCAACTGAAGCAAAAAAGATGCACGCTTTAAGACTGTATAATCATCTATAATAAAAGAATGTTGTTAGCAATCTAAGAGTCTAATTTCAAGGAATTAATAATTATTAAGCATTAACATATAGAATAGTATACACCCATTTGGATGGTAGTTATGAGAACTATTGAAGCATGCAAAATATTTATAAATATTTGAAATAAAGAGAATAAAATAGAATGGACTCTGTACAGTTCTGCTAACCACATATAAATGAAGGGCTAGGAAAAAAGAAGCTGTGTTAGAGTAGTAAGGGGAAAAAAGCCTTTAAGCATATAATAAATGTAATGGTTTCCTATTCAAACAAGATCTTGCCTTGTAATAGTCTCTCTCAAACACTACTTTCTTGAGTTATTTGTAATAGAACTGTTACTATTATATTTACATGATGAATATAAAACATGGAAAATTTTTTAGGATAAAAACCTTCTTGCTTTTTTTTAAATTTTATTTTTCAATTACAGTTTGCATTCAATATTATTTTGTATTAGTTTCAGGTATAACCACAGTGGTTAGACAGTCATATACTTTACAAAATTGTCTCCCTGATATTTCAAGTACCCACCTTGCCCACACATAGTCATAACAATGTTATTGACCGTATGCCCTATGCTGCACTTTACATCTCCAGGACTCTTTCGTGACTACCAGTTTGTAGTTCTTAATTCTTCCAACTTTTTTCACTCAGTCCCCCAAGACCTCTGCCCTCTGGCAATTATCAGTCAGTTCTCTCTTCCTATCTTGTTTGTCTGAAAAACCTTGCATTTTAAGTTTTTTTATTCTCACCTGAGAGTATGTTTATTGATCTTTAAAGAGAGAGGAAGTGAAAGAGAAAGTGTAGGAGGAGAGAAATATCAATTTGTTGCCTCCCAAACGTGGCCGTGGGTGGAACTCTCAACCTAGGAATGTCCCCTGACTAGGGATCAAACCTGCAACATTTTGGTGTACGGGACCATGATCCAACCAACTGAACCACCTGGCCAGGACCAAAACCTTCTTGCTTTTTAATGTCAGTTTTGATACATACTGATAAGCTATCTAAGAACTTTCTAAATTAAAAGACTAGTACTATTGTCAACTCGAAGAACCCATTAGAATAAACATGTCTTGGCTGGATCAGCACTATTTTTTTTACATATCAAGATGTATTGAAGGTATGTATTTAGTGCATCTAAACTGTATCATTATCTATTCTAGCTATATTCCAGCCCTTCCCCTAATCTAAATTGATCATAATTTATGCTTGGAATTTCCTAAAGCTATCCCCTCCTCTTGATCTTCTATTCTATAGAAGATATTCTATTCTGTAGAATATGTGCTTTTTTAAATGTGAGCTACAGATTTTGCTATAAAGACATTGCTCAGGTGGGCAGCTCCCACTAATCACAAAAGAGCAGAATTTTCTAAGTGCTCAGCAAATAGCTGACTGGACTTCTCACGGTATGTGGCTGATAAGAAAGGGCACTTATTGTTTATTAGGTAATATTCCAGAGAATTCATGTGAGGCTGGTGGTTCCCAGCCCTTGAAGCCAGAAACCAGGCAGCATTTTCCAACTGTGTGATAAGCTGAAAGAAGAGCTGTTGCACCGTGGCTGTGAACAGTGAGGGGTCCCTGACCTTACTAAATCAACTGTCAATGCAGTCATATAAAGGGCAAGAGAGTGACCAGGCTGCCAAAGACGTGTGGAGAGAAATGGGATTATGGTACTGAATCATTCTGGGAGCAAATAGTGGATGCTATTCAACAAAGAAATAGACTATTTAAGTCATTTAGTATATAGAACGTCCTTCCATGACATCTCTATACTAAGGACATAAAATTAGCAAATTACATTTCTACTCACCAATTATATGAAATTGAGAAAGCTTAGGAGTTATTCCGGCATCATCTCAGGAGATAGAGAAGCGGAAGTCATCTGACTCTGCCTGTGCATCAAGAATTGAAGAGTATGAAGGGCAACTCACTGAAATGTATTCTTTTAATTTTGTTCAATTTCAACAAACTTCTCTGACAAGCTATTGAAAGATATAAGAGCTAGATTTTTTTAAATAGGACATTAGGTTTTCTAAATGTGTGGTTTTATTTATGTAAGTAAGCAATGAGGATACCCTAGACATTTTGATATTTAAACTTAGTGACGTTACTACAGCAGTATTCCCTAAACCCATGCCCCGTAGAAACTGGTCAGATGATTTAGGAAAATCATGCAGAAACAATTCTGAATCCTCTTACATATTCACACTGGATACTCTGAGAAATGTTACAGGTAAAAACCTTGTTTAACTCTGTTTTCCATGAAGACATTTATTATTTTGTATTTATATAAGAACTTTTATTTATTTGCCAATACTTATTAATGTAGACACTTCTAGGAAATAAAGAAATAATAGCAATAATTATTTACTGGTAGATACTATAATAGTTTTTCAGCCTCTGGACATGACTAATCTTTGTTTAGGGTCAAATCATGAATCATTCTGATATTTAGAATGAAACAGTCGACAGTCAAGTATCACTGCACTTTATAGTACAGGAGAAGAGAGTGTGGCTTAGCCTCTAAGACAGGAAATACGATCACAGATTTGAGAAACAGTAAAAAGGACACAAGTCACTGCTAAGGGTAACCAGACTCAATACATACCACAGCCTAGTCACAAGATGCATGCATTGAGTTTATATAAATTCCAGTTATATGTTTATGAAGCACAAAAGCCCCTGAATTAGCCTATCATCTCTCTTCACCCTATCCCTACTTTCAACTAGACCCCAGTTTAGAAAAAAGAAAATCAATGTAGCAATCAAAGAAAAAGCAAAGAAATAAATTCTGGGCCTTTAGTGGGGACTCTGTCCTGAACAGTTTCAAGGGACACCTTTCAATCCCTGAGAGTGACAGAACACACAACTTGTACGGCCATGCACACTGTCTTCGTCTTTTGTGCTACCAAAGGCCTAGGTCCTGGTCATTGGAGGGTAATTTGAAAGATTTATAAGGGTAATTTTGACTGTTAAAGATTCTCTTTCAGTTTTTACCTTGTGCACTGACCTTAGAGCTTAACTCCTATCCCTGTAATTTTTTCCTTTATTTTTATGGTTGACATTGTTACAAAGGTCCCCGTAACAGTACCAGGGTTACACAGCAGGCATATGCTATTCTGTGCACATTGGAAATATTCTTATTTCACATGGTTTAATCACATCTGCCCATGGATTATCAGTTTCTAGTCAAAGCTATAATAGTTCAAATATGAGTGGTAAAACATTATAATGAAGTACCCCAAATGTGAATGTTAAAAACTGTGGCTCCCGTTAAGTCTCTACAGATTCTTTCATTCTTTAACTTTATAAATAATTAAAAGCAAAGTAAATGAAAGTTGGATTAACTTTAAATATTCTAATAAAAATAATTCAGCGGCTTACTTGTAATAAGAAAGATTTTATTACTTAGAAAATGCTGATTTGACTCAAACACCAATCATTACAAAAAATTGCTACTGCTTTCTATGTAATATAGACTCTAGATCTAATCATTAAAAAAATTATATGTATATGTGTTACCCTAAAAGGCTAATAACATGCTTATTACTATAAAAAGCACTTTCACTATCAAGTATTTTTTAAAACTATACATTAGATTGTTAACATTAATTTTTATGTTATTTAGTAAGGAGAATAATAATAGTTTCCATTTTATCTCCTCTGTCTGACTTTAATTTATATACACAAAACTATTCTGTGCATACACTGTGTATGCATTTATATACACATACCACACACATATACTGCATATATGTGTATATATTCACAATCCTTTCTAAAATAATACCTTTACATTATTTTTATATTAAAACTATTAAACTATTCTAACTGGAATGCCCTTTGCATCAGATCTGAGAAACAAAAATATAAATTTTGCCCTGGCTGCTGTGGCTCAGTGGATTGAGTGCCAGCCTGGGAACCAAGGGGTCTCTAGTTCAATTCCCAGTCAGGACACATGCCTGAGTTGTGGGCCAGGTCCCAGTAGGGGGCACATGAGAGGCAACCACATATTGATGTTTCTCTCCCTCTCTTTCTCCCTCCTTTCCCCTCTCTAAAAATAAAATAAATAACTAGTATTATAAAAGGAAAAAAGGAAGGTGGGTATTTTTTGCTTCATCTGGCTTTAAAATGTCTCCACTGTTTTGTTTTGTTTTGTTTCTTGCAGAATTCCAGAATCCCCTGGTGAAATTCCTGAATATCCTTTGTTTGTCACAGTGGGTGACTGGCTGGATTCAATAAAGATGGGGCAATACAAGAATAACTTTATGGCAGCAGGCTTTACAACTTTTGACCTGATTTCAAGAATGAGCATCGAGTAAGTAGGATTATTACTGGATTTAGATGCTCCAACCGTGAGACTCTAAATTCAAATACTGTATCAAGTGCTCCACATTTAAACTACCTTTCCTAAGGCTACCATGGCCTTTCCACCTCCTTCCCCACAATTTCTGAATGTCGTTCTAGTGAAAGTTGGACATTGCACTTTTAACTACTATTCTTTCAAAGAATATATTCAATGTAAATAGCTATTTAAAATTTTATAATGATTTCTAAAATGCATGTTACACTCATTCATATCATAGATGTTACATAACATAGTTTTACCTTAGCAAATTATTTATTACTCACATATGCTAATATTGTATAGTAAATTTCTATTACTTCATCAAATGTAGTCATTGTAATCATACAATATTATCATGCCATTTCAGAGTTTCTTCTCTATATTATCACGGCCAGGCATTTTCCCACTTTCTCAAAGATTATCATTTGCCTGGGTGCAATAAAAGTACTCAAGATGTGCTTAAAAGATTAGATACTAAATCCAGTAGGTTAAGCCATATGAAACTGCCACTGTTTTAAAATAATAATGATAATATATAATTTGATATAATACAATAACATTCTTTTTTATATTATTGAAAGATTCTGAGAACTCAAATGAAGTCCATTATACATTCTACCCTACATATTATTTTAAAACTATTGAAAATTTATATAATTACCTAAGTTATATAACCTTAGGCCTATGAAATGTCTGGATATTCCATAAATGCCTGAATATTCCATAAATGCCTGAATTTGAAATGTTCCTTGTAACCTTAAAGTTGAGGTTAACTTGATGCGTCTGTTGGCACCAGAGAGAAGAAAAAAGTAACAAACTCTTAATGTACATTTATATTTCTGCTTAAACTTTCATTTTACCAGATATATAATTTTTGGCAAATTTATAAAGTAATTCTGATATGGTACATATTTGCCATACCTAAATGTTTATTTCCTCTCTCTCATACTTACCAGATCTAAATGTTCATATTCTTTATTCTCTCTCGTCCTCCTTCCCTGCCTCCCTCTCCACTCCTCTCCTCTCCTCTCCTCTCCTCTGCTGTCCTTCTCTCTCTCTCTCTCTCTCTCTCTCTCTCTCTCTCTCTGTCTCTCTCTCTCTCAGTGACATTAGAAGAATTGGAGTCATACTCATTGGACACCAGAGACGAATAGTCAGCAGTATACAGACGTTACGTTTACACATGATGCACATACAGGAGAAAGGATTTCATGTATGAAAGTACTACAAGCTCCGGTGTCTTGTGCCTCAGCATTTCTGTAATGAAAGATATCCTCTCTACTACCCTCTCACCTGATTCTCCAAACATCACTTTACAAACTGCAGTTTCCTGTTAAGACTACAGGGCACACGCCTTTTGTTTATGCTTCCAACCTGGATTTTAAAATCATGCTTCATAGCTCCTCTCCGAATAACCTGCAAATAAAACCCTGGCCCACTGCAGATTATCGCTACACAATGGTAAATAACTCAGCATGGATGTGTAACTTTGTATAACAGTATTCGGGAAGTGTTCAGGGACTTAACGCAAAGGAATTTGCCCAGGTGTGTCTTCCTTGGTGATGTATTTAGAGTTTAATGGTAGATGAAAAAGAAATAATCGACCTTATTTTCATGCTTTGTGATCAAGTAGCTTCCAAAGTAACATATATATTTATTTGTCAGATAATTATATTTAACTCTATGGGTCTTATGGTTACCTTGTTTTATAATGGCTTAACTGCTGACGTCTGATGTTGTTAAATTTGAAGAAATGAGCAATGACTTTATGTAGTGAATTCCTGTCAGGTGTGACTGGTGAGAAGGGGGTTATCAGGGAGGGGAAGGGAGAAACATTCTGTGCTTTCAAATCTTCTAAGACTGGGTTTGTCAATTTTTTAAAAATAAACTTTATAGTGTCCTACATATTGCATAGTAGGTGGTAGTTTAGAGGTTTTTCCCCTCTAATTTTTTACTAACTATAGTACACTTCTCTACTACCTTGTAAAGATCACCCCTAGAGAGACCATGAGTGAGTTCATTTCTCCAAAGTTTGCCCCGGAGTGAATTATAGAGTAAAACCATCACTATTCCCCTGGTTCTTCTTCACAAGTTTTCAAAAGTAATCATCAAAGCACTGATAAAATTAGTTATTCTCAGTAGAATTGCTTGGAATAAAAGATCTAAAATTATAGCTTTGGGTTTAATGGAAAAAGATGAATTGATTTAATTTGAACAGAATTTTATAATCATTGTATGGTGGCCTGAGAACATAAACACATCTAGCTGACTGTTTGACATGAATGCATTTTACAAGTTTAAGAATTTTTGTTTTGTTCATAAAATAAGTTACGTGAACGTGCTGAGCTGTTTTCCAAACCTTCCAAGAGACAGGTATACCATTGCACACGCCAAGGAGGACACAGATGGATCTAACACATGAGCGTATATAAATGTTGTGTTAACCTGGGCTCATAATACAGTAACGTAAAACCGTGAACACAGCTAAGGTGTGCTATGGCCGTAACCTCCTCAAGGCTGTCAGAAAAGGCAAATATATATATTTTTAGTGAACTAAGCTGAGCCAGCGTATCAAAATAGTGCTGTATTTTGAACAAACCCAATTATAAAATCAGCTGTTTCTTGTGAAACTCAAAAAATAACTGCCATGCTGAGTGCAAGAGGAGGGAGAAAGCGTTAAAGGAAAAAACCAAACGGCCAGGCTGTCTAAACATGCCAACTTAATACATCAGTTTTCATTTGACCTCAAAGACAAAGGTGCCTACCCACATTCTCAAATCCCCACCTGAATCACATTTGTTTGGTGGAAGTAGCTTTTTTGCTGTTAAAGGAGACTCATTTTTTAACCTTATTTTCAGATTTGTTGATTGTGCTACTAGACCATGTCTTTCCACATATTTATTGATTTATCTCCTGATTTTTGCCTACAACAACTTAATTCTTCTCATTTCAAAAAAATGTGTACAGCTTTAAAAAAGGTCTTTAAAGTATTCCTTGAGGCATACTAAAAAAAAAATGGGAAATCCATCACTTTTTAAGTGTGTCAGCAACAGCTAGTAGCATTTCCCAGCCGTCGCCTGCATGGTCCTGTCACTCATAGACTCTCTGCAGATTGCTTGACACATCTCCACAACTCTGAACACATTTAGAGGACACAAAAAATGTCCATATTTACCTTTCTTCAAATATATATTAAATAATAACAAATAAATAAGAAATGTAAAACAGATTAAATTTATTAACCACATATATTTATTTTTATAATACAATAAAAAAGGTATTTAGCAAAATAAGGAATAGAATAATTATGGTCTTCCAAGGACTCTATAAGCAACATCTGTATACTTTGGTGACATATTTAAATTTCTATGGAATGAGCATTTAGTGTTTGCCATATTAAAGTTCTCTGTTAAATTTTTTTCTTAAAAAACTCTGATTCTATCCTATATCTGCTAATTTATACTTCTATTTTTCTTCTCTAATATCTTTGTCTATTTTATAAACTCTCTTTTCACTTTGTCTCTTATGACAAATCCTCTTTAAAATTTCTTTACAATTACATTTACATTTTTCAGAACTATAAACATGATAATCCTAAGAGTGTAATTTCTAGCCTTTTTATGGTCAGAGAAAGGGTGGAATATGTGTGCAATATTAAAATGAAACATTAAAAAATAAGGATATCTATTTCTTTACTGCCTATCAGTGACAGACTCTGTGATCCCAAAGGTATTAAAATATCCAGAAATATTAACAGATAAATCACCAAGTACATTTGAAAGTTTTACATGAAATATTTTGAGATTTACTAGTATATATATTCAGCAATTAAAACTTCAGTCTGCATAAGCATAGAACTAAATTATAGGAACAAAATAAGCAACTTGCATAAATCACAAGCCTTCAGTAATAATCTTTGATAAGTAACATGTGCAGATATATTCATGTACCTCATCATTTTGAATTTTCTAATCTATACTGAGGGACTTTTTGAATTTTGAAAATCAGATAGTTAAAGAAACATTTTTTTCCTATTTTCTGGGTGGTTGATTTGCAATCTATAGTTACAAGGCATATCTGTAAAAAAAATTAAAGACAATGCACAATCAAAAAGAGAGACGAGGTATGTAAATCGTCCAATTACAAAAGTGATCAGAAATTGCAAAGTTCTTAGCTTAATAAGAATCAAGAATTATAGCACTTTTGTGCTTTTATCTTATACCTGTTGATAAGTTAAGTTATGCATGCCATAATCAAGATGATTTCTCTTGTTTCACTCTGTGCTACCCTTCAAAATCTACTCAGCTATCACGTGAACAAAACAGACTCCCACTCCAGCTTTAAGGCCTGTCTCAGACCATGAGTGGAAAACAAATCCAAATCCAATCCTTGAAAAGTAGTCTTTACAGAAAATCTTCCGAAGAGGTGGCAAAGAATGAATTACATTCTCTATCTCTCAACCTCAATTCCTTAAAAATTCATTTTTATTTCTTTCCCTACCAAATTTTTACTCTGTAGTCAGTTAAATCTCTTATCTCAAAATTTTCATGAACACTGGGTATCTTTTTTCTATTCCTTTATTAATTTTTTCTAAACCTTCCTTTCTGAGCCCCCTTTGTTCTCCCTTTATTCTTCCATGCCATCTCTTTTTATTTCTCAGCTCCTGCCACTCCACCCCTCAACCCTGTCAGCAAAATTGAGGTTGCACAGCACATCCAACGGGATCTTACAGATCTCCATCCAAGATGCTGGGGACGGAGGGAAGAAGGGAATGTTGCAAATGTCATACTTTAACATTCTGAGTCCTACCATACAAATGGGAGCATTTGTGCTCACAAAACATATGAGTTCTGGCTTTTCATTAACTGGAAATTAAATGCTTTGGAAAGTAATTTCCAAATGGATGATGATGATCCTTTTTTATAGTTTTAGCTAAAGAAATTTCTTAATTTAAAAGAAATTAGTAGTTTAAGAATCAAAACTGTTACTATCATCTCATAGTTGGTGTACATGTCTTTATATAACAAAGAGATTAAAATTAAATGAAGCACTTCTTTTAGTATGATTGCCATAACTTTTTCAACCTCAAATTCCAGTAAATTACAGGCTCATATTACATCTTTTTTAAGTATATTTTACAATCATGCTATTACAGTTGTCCCAATTTTTTTCTGCCCTTTACCCCCCTCTGCCCTGCACCCCCACACCCTTCAGCATTTCTTCCCCAACTTAGTTCATGTCCATGGGTCATATATATAAGTTCTTTGGCTCCTCCATTTTCTATACTACTTTTAACTTCCCCCTGTCTACTTTGTACCTACCAATTATACTTCTTACTCTCTGTACCTTTTCCCCCATTCTCCCTCCTCCCCCTGCCCACTGATAACCCTCCATGTGATCCCCATTTCTGTGATTCTGTTCCTATTCCACTTGTTTGCTTACTTTGTTTTTGTTTTTGTTCTTTTTTATGTTCAGTTGTTGATAGTTGTGAGTTTGTTGTCATTTTACTGTTCATAGTTTTGATCTTCTTTTTGTTAGATAAGTCCCTTTAACATTTCATATAATAAGGGCTTGGTGATGATGAACTCTTTAACTTGACCTTATCTGGGAAGCACTTTATCTGCCCTTCCATTCTAAATGATAGCTTTGCTGGATAAAGTAATCCTGAATGTAGGTCCTTGACTTTCATGGCTTTCAATACTTCTTTTTAGCTCCTTCTTTCCTATAAGGTTTCTTTTGAGAAATCAGCTAATAGTTTATAGGAACTCCTTTGTAGGTAACCGTCTCTTTTCCTCTTGCTGCTTTTAAGATTCTCTACTTCTCTTTAATCTTGGGTAATGTAATTATGATGTGTCTTGATGTGTTTCTTCTTGGATCCAACTTCTTTGGGACTCTCTAAGCATCATGGACTTGCATGTCTGGTTCCTTCATCAGATTGGGGAAGTTTTCCTTCACTAGTTCTTCAAATAAGTTTTCAGTTTCTTGCTCTTGCTCTTCCTCTTCTCCTTCTGGCACCCCTATGATTTAAATGTTAGAACATTTAAAGTTGTCCCAGAGGTCCCTCAGCCTCTCCTCATTTTGTTGAATTTTTGTTTCTTAATTCTGTTCCAGTTAGATATTTTTATTTTGTTTCAAATCATTGATTTGAATCCCAGTTTCCTTCCCTTCACTGTTGATTCCCTCTGTATTTTCCTTTATTTCACTTTGTGTAGCCTTTATTTCTTCCTTCATTGCCACCAAACTCAATCATTTCTGTGCACATTGTGATTACTAGTGTTTTGAACTCTGCATCTGATGGGTTGTCTATCTCCTTGCTTCTTAGGTCTTTTTCTGGAGTTTTGATCTGTTCTTTCACTTGGGCCATATTCCTTTGTCTCAGCACACCTGCTAAATTGTAAGGGGTAGAGCCTTAGGTATTCGTCATGGCAGGGCAACCCACTTCACTGGGTGGTGGCCCTGTATGTGAGGGAGGGTCAGAGGAGGAACAGTGCCACTTACTAGCTTGCTAGGCTCTTTCCCCACTCCCAGTCACTTCCCTACTTTCCCACAAGCAGATTATGTCCTTTCAGGTGCCGATCCCAGGTAGGTGGGCTTGTGCACATTCCAGCATCCCGTGGCCCTCTC